GACCTCCATCGGCCTCGTTGCTCCGGACACAGACAGTGGAGAGACGTTCCTGAGAACGTTGACGCCACTCCTGGAAATGAAGGGCATCTGCGTCCTTTTCGCGCTAACTACCACAAAGCTGGATGCAGATCAAAAGTCCATCTCTCCCGACTTCTTCCTTAAATGGAAGCAGATCAATGTATATATTTCCTTTGTGGAGAGCACTTCTGAGTTCATAAGAATGCGTCTGATAGAAAAACTCTTTGAGGAGCTCATAAAACCCGAACAAGGGAAAATTTGGGTTATTACTACAATGAGGGACATCACCTTTGACTTATTTACTGGTTTTCTGACTTTCCACCGCACCTATGGCCTTTTTTCCTTCTACATCCAGACTAAAAAGAGGACAACCTACGATGATATTTTTCTCTTTTACTATTCTGCCAGGAGCTTTGTCCTGCAAGCATTTCTGTGTTCCTATTCAAAGCATGCCTTGTCGGTGAAAGGCTGGGTGAGTTGCAAAGAGAGAGAACACCTGAGGCCTTGGCCCCAGGACCACGTGGAAAAGATACTTTGCCTTGACAGCTACCGCCTCTACAACACCATCTGGGCTGTGGCCCGGGTCTTAAACGCTGCCTATGCCTCCCGATCCAAGTGGAGGGGGAGGAAAAGTGGGAAAGAGTCAGGAATTCAGAGGCTGCAGCCTTGGCAGGTATTTCCTTCTCATCTCTTTTTCTTTCTTTCTTTCTTTCTTTCTTTCTTTCTTTCTTTCTTTCTTTCTTTCTTTCTTTCTTTCTTTCTTTCTTTCTCTTTCTTTCTTTCTTTCTTTCTTTCTCTCTCTCTCTCTCTCTTTCTATCTTTTCCTTTTCCTTCCTTCCCTTCCTTCCTACCATCTTTCCTCTCTCTCTCTCTCTCTCTCTTTCATCTCTATCTCTATCTCTATCTCATCTCTCTATCTCTCCCTCTCCTACTTCTATTTTTTTCTCTTTTTTCCCCTCCCTCCCTCCTTTTCTCTTTTTTCATTTTTTCTTTCATATATACAGACGATGCACATGAATCCCTCAATTCCCTCCCAGGCACCCATACATTGGAATCAGGGGTGGGTTCTAAATTTTTTTACTACTGGTTCTGTGGACGTGGCTTATTTTGTGGGCATGGCTTGGTGGGGGGTAATGTGACTGTGTGGGCGTGGCCAGTTTTTTTTTTTTTTACTTTTAAAAGCATATTTTCTACAACCTTAAGAGGTTGCAGAAAAGAATGCTTTTAAAAGCCTCTGACGATCAGGCAAATCAGCTGGGATCGCCAGAGGCTTTTAAAGGCATTTTTTTCCCTACAACCTCTCTGACGGTTCCAGCTGAGCCGCGCGATCATCAGAGGCTTTTTTTTTTACTTTTAAAAGCATTTTTTCGGCCGAAGAGGTTATAGAAAAAATGCTTTTAAAAGTTTTTTTTTAAAAAGCCTCTGATGAGGTGAGCGGGGTAAGCGAGCGACAACCGGGCCAGGGTCTGGTTCGGGGACGTGGCCAGCCAATGTTATTACCGGTTCTCCGAACTACTACAAATGTTTACTACCGGTTCTTGCGAACCGGTGCGAACCGGAAGCAACCCACCACTGATTTGAATCATATGTCACCACCCCTCCCTTTCTGTTTCGGTTGTCTGGCTGTGAGCAAAAGTGCACAGTGGGTTTGGCCATGATCTTTTCCTGTTCTTGGGTAAGAGAGATGTCAGCGACATGCCCCCCCGCCTTTTTTTTAATTTGATTTATATGCCGCCCTTCTCCGGAGACTCAGGGCGGCTTACAATGCGTTAAGCAATAGCCTTCATTCTTTTGTATATTTTATACAAAGTCAGCTTATTGCCCCCACAAACTGGGTCCTCATTTCACCTACCTTAGAAAGGATGGAAGGCTGAGTCAACCTTGAGCCTTGGAGAGATTCGAACCAGCAGAAATTGCAGGCAGCTGTGTTAATAACAGGGTGCGTAGACCACTGTACTATCAAGGCTCTTTGAGAGTAGAACCATCTTTGAGTCTGAACTGAGGTGAGAAATGTATTTGTTTACCCTTCTAAATTTATTGTTCAATTGGTTGTTCTAGTTCCACCCTTTTCTGCAAAACTCCCAGTTGTACAACCATACCATGGACGGTATATATTTGGGCAAGGACGGAGCCCTGGCAGCTGACTTTGACCTCATCTACTGGATGAAGTTTCTGAATGGCTCCGTCAAGAAAGTAACCTTTGGCAGTCTAGAAAGACGGGGATCCCCAGAGCCCGAGTTTATGATCAATGAGGATGCCATTGTGTGGCCAAAATGGTTTAACCAGGTGGGCGAGCTGTTTTGAGTCCACCACCAGCACCCTGCTTAAAGTCCAGTGGTTAGAATATTTCAACGGGGCTTCTGTCTTAGGTTGTCTGCAGACTTCAGCTGGTGCAACATTGGATGCAGAGCAGCTTTCGTGAAATTGTAATCTTTGCATCTTTTAAGGGTCTCTGCTTGAGCCAATTTAGAATCACAAGCTTGTTTCTTTTGTTCAAAATCCATCTTTATGTTAAGTATTTATTTATTTTTTTGCCATCATTGTATGGGTTGCTTCCTAAACAAGGAAAGTCTTCACTGCTACTCCACCAAGTAATAGTGGCATATTTTTCAACTGCTAATGACAGCGTTCCAAGTAACAACCTCCAAATTTTTTTTTTTAAATTTGATTTATATGCCGCCCTTCTCCGAAGACTCAGGGCGGCTTACAATGTGCTCAGCAATAGCCTTCATCCTTTTGTATATTTATACAAAGTCAGCTTATTGCCCCCACAAACTGGGTCCTCATTAAATTAAAAGACTCCGAGACTGTCATCTTCTCAAAGATCCATTTTATTAGCGATGTCATATTGGCACATCTGAGGAAAACCCAAATATGAGATTTCCGGGTTTTCCCTAGCCCAGAGAGAATCCAAAATCCAACCCTTGCACCCAATAGTGCCTTACATGGTCCAATCATTACTTCGTTCCAACTGGAGACTATCCCCAGGCAGTCCCTTCCAGGTGCAGAGTAACATGTCCTTTACTTTCAGAGAAAGGAATGTTGTTGTGGCTATGAAATTCCCCTCCCAAATTCCCAGGCACTGAATGTGGTAGCCCAGAAGCCTCAAAGAAAAATGGCTTCCAAACTGACAGCTAGCTCCTAGTTGTTCCTGAAAAAAAAGAAGTGCTCCACTGTGTTATTTTCTTCATCATTGATTCCAAGGCTGGTTGTTGTATAAGACCATCCTACAGCTTGGAAATGCACAAAATCTATACCTATTGTCTAATCAATGAAGCAAGTATTAATTCTCTTTATCCAGCATGCATCAGCAATAATCTCCCTAAAATCAGTGGTGGATACGAGTTACTTTGGTAATAAGGCCAAAATTGTTACGATACTTTGCACAGTGTGTAAATTGTCCTTCCTATACTACTATGTTGACATGTACACTAAGCTCTGTTGTTGCTCTTCTGTTGCTTCTCCTAAGATACATACAGCCCAGGGGTGAAATCCAGCAGGTTCTGACAGGTTCTGGAGAACCGTTAGCCGAAATTTTGAGCAGTTCGGAGAACCAGTAGAGGAAATTTTGAGTAGTTCGGCGAACTGGCAAATACCACCTCTGGCTGGCCCCAGAATGGGGTGGGAATGGAGATTTTGCAATATCCTTACCCTGTCACGCCCACCAAGCCACACCCACCAAGCCACACCACGCCCACCAAGCCACGCCCACAGAACCGGTAGTAAAAAATTTGGATTTCACCACTGATATAGCCTAAAATTTAATCCAGAGAAAAAAGCAGAGAAAAGAAGAGAAAGCACCATTGAAAAAGCAACTTTGGGGTAAAAGAAGAGAGTAATAAGGAAGCTAGCTGTAATTTTACCAGTTGGGCAATTGCAGATTCTGAGATGAACCAAGTTTAGTCTCTTTTCCTTAAATAAATGATCCCTAAACTACATTCAGGAGATGCGGTGGCTCTGTGGCTAAGACTCTGAGCTTGTCAATCAAAAGGTCGGCAGTTCAGTGGTTCGAATCCCTAGTGCAGCGTAACGGGATGAGCTCCCTTTATTTGTCCCAGCTTCTGCCAACCTAACAGTTCGAAAGCACGTAAAAAATGCAAGTAGAAAGATAGGCACCACCTTTGGTGGGAAATTAACAGCATTCAGTGCGCCTTTGGTGTTTAGTCATTTATTTATTTATTTATTTATTTACTTACTTATTTATTTATTTATTTATTTTTTTATTTTATTTTATTTTATTTTATTTTATTTTATTTTATTTTATTTTATTTTATTTATTAAATTTCTATACCGCCCTACTCCCGAAGAACTCAGGGCGGTGAACAGCCACGAAATAAAACACATACATACACAAAATTTAAAATCGAATAAAATGAATTAAATAAATTTGGCTGAATTTAAAATACCCTTAATTTAGAATACCAATATTTTAAAACACACTAAAATTTAAAATTTGCACTTAAAAGGGAGAAGATTTAGGCCAGGCCAGTTTGATGAAATAAGAGTCTTAAGCTCGCGGCGGAAAGTGCGCAGATCCAGGATCCTCCGTATCTCTGGGGGGAGCTCATTCCAGATCGTAGGTGCCCCCACAGAGAAGGCTCTCCCCCTAGGGGCCGACAGCCACATGACCACGGAGACATCTTCAGACAGCACTGGCCCTTCGGCTTTGAAACGGAGATGAGCACCACCCCCTAGAGTTGAGAATGACTAGCACATATGTACGAGGGGAACCTTTACCTTTTAAACTACATTCATTAACACCTTTGTTTTTTATATGTTTAGGCCATGCCCTCTTCCAGGTGTGTGGAACGCTGTTGCCCTGGATGGGTCAAGCTGGCTCCAGAAGGACAACCAGTTTGTTGCTATGAATGTGTTCCCTGTGCAGATGGAACCATCTCCATTCAGGAAGGTGAGTATTCTAGAAAGAGGATCAATCAGTTCTATATCCCATCAGCCTCTGCACATTCTGGTGTCTGTGTCCAATGGAGTCTTTGTCACTGGAGTTATGGCTGAAGGGGGTTCAGAGTAAGACATGATGGGTACATGGAGAACAAATCACAGGGAAACCTTGTGCAAAATTAGTGGTTGTGTCTAATCAGAATTATGTTGGTGTCATCAACAAAAGCAATAAAGATAACTATTATCCATAATACAAAATAAGCTTTTTTTTTTATCTTATATCCCATTTTGTTTTGCTCTCTTCATGGCTCCAATATATTGTCTTCACTAATACACCCTTTCATCTTCCGTCTCTGATGTAAAGGTAAAGGTTCCCCTTGCACATATGTGCTAGTCATTCCCGACTCTAGGGTGCTGTGCTCATCTCTGTTTCAAAGCCGAAGAGCCAGCGCTGTCCGAAGACATATCTCTGTGGTCATGTGGCATGACTAAACGCTGGCTGCTGAACCGCTGAACTGCCAACATTTCTGATCGACAAGCTCAGCGTCTTAGCCACTGAGCTACCGCGTCTGATGTATCAGCCCCCAAATTATGACTGAACATATATCAATAACACTGATTGTTCTTTGGAAGGACAGATGTTGAAACAGTAGCACAAACACTTTGCCAACCCAATGAGAAGAGAGGGTTCATAGGAAAAGACCCTGATGTTGAGAAAGATTGAGGGCAAAAGGAGAAAGGGATGACAGAGGATGACAGAGGATGACAGAGGACAGGGTTAGATAGTGTCATCGATGCAACAAAGATGAATTTGAGCTAACTCTGGGATACAGTGGAGGATAAGGGAGGGCTATGGTCCATGGAGTCACGAAGAGTTGGACACAAGTTAAGTGAGTGAACAACAGTATATGAACTGTTGGGAATCAACCCATATTTCTGGCAAAAAGGCACCCAGATGAATGAAACAATGGGTAAGTCAGTGAATATAAAATGAAGAATGATTTGGTGTTATTTGTTTTGTAGATGCAGACCTGTGCATCAAATGCCCCAATGATCATCATCCAAACGAAGATCAAGATCGATGTATCCCTAAGATTACAGACTTCTTACATTACAGAGAAACTTTGGCCATCATCATGGTTTCCTTTGCTTTATTCTTATCCTTAATCGCTGGGTTCATTTTAGGAATCTTTATTAAATATTTGGAGACCCCGATAGTCAAAGCCAATAACCGGGACGTTTCCTACATCATCCTCACTTCCCTCCTGCTTTCCTTCTTGTCCACTTTTCTCTTCATTGGGCGGCCAAGCAAAGCCACTTGCCTCCTCCGACAAACAGCCTTCAGCATCATCTTCTCAGTGGCTGTCTCTTCCATCCTGGCCAAAACGATCACGGTGGTGCTGGCTTTCCTGGCCACAAAGCCAGGGAAGAGGATGAACAGATGGCTTGGGAAGAGTTTTGCCAACTCCATTATCCTTTCTTGTTCTGCTGTCCAGATAATCATTTGCTCCATCTGGCTCAGTGTCTCTCCACCTTTTCCTGACTCTGACATGCACTCCCAACCCAGAGAGATCACCCTGCAATGCAATGAAGGCTCTGTCGCCATGTTTTATGTTGCCCTTGGGTACATGGGCTTCCTGGCCGCCATCTGCTTCACGGTGGCTTTCCTGGCCAGGAATCTGCCTGGGGCCTTCAATGAAGCCAAGCTGATCACCTTCAGCATGCTGGTCTTCTGCAGCGTTTGGCTGTCCTTTGTGCCTGCCTATCAGAGCACCAAGGGGAAGTCCATGGTGGCTGTGCAAGTCTTCTCCATCTTGGCCTCCAGCGGTGGTCTGTTGGTCTGCATCTTCTTCCCCAAGTGCTACATTATCATCCTAAGGCCTGATCTGAATACAAAAGATCACCTGACCACAAAAAGGAAAGATGGCACCTGAATCTGAAATATTTATTCTGAAGAAGAAATACTCCTTCGAACTTAAATGCTGCTAAAATAAACAATTCCGTTTTGTTTTCATTATAGAGCTCTAGAGAAGAAGTCGTCAAATATGCTGAGCTGGCTAACAACCATTTATTTCCTCTTACTATTTACTTTGAATTTTCATCTTTTAACATTTATTTATTTATTATTTATTTATTTAATCAAATTTATATGCCGCCCTTCTCCCGAAGGACTCGGGGCGGCTCACAGAAATAAAAAGCATCGCACAATAAAATAATAAATTAGTTTTAGTTAATTAAAATACTCCAATTAAAACCCTTAGAAAAACTAAAAACTGAAAAACTCCCAAACTCAACATTTGAGTCCATTGTCCTGCCCTTTGGCATAACAATGAAAATTATTACTGAACTGTAACAACCCTTGAAATATTTGAAGACAGTTACTGCATTTGCTTTCAACCTTGTTGCAGGCTAAATAAACCCAGTTTCTTTTAACTGTTTCTTCTGGTGGTTGGTCATCAGCCTCTTGCTTATCCTTTTCTGAATGTGTAATTGTCCTTTCTGTGCTGTGGTGCAGCTTTCTCAGGACTGGGGTGTGAAAATGCTGAAGAAAGGCTTACCCAAAGAAACAAATTGGCTGGACAAAAACTAGTCGATGGTGGGCTTTTTTCTTTCTGGCAGCCAGCAAATTCTTGCTGCCAGGTGAGAGACTTATATAGATCTATTTCTGGCTCTTGGATGCACGGCTGTCTTTAGAAGAGCATGTGACAGCCGTGGCCAGGGGAGCTTTTTATCAGGTCCGCCTGATTCGCCAGTTGCGTCCCTTTCTGGATTGGGACTCCTTACGCACAGTCACTCAGGCACTCGTCACTTCCCGCCTGGACTACTGCAATGCTCTCTACATGGGGCTCCCCTTGAGGAGCACCCCGAGGCTCCAACTGGTGCAGAATGCGGCCGCGCGGGGGATTATGGGAGTGAGGGGGCGCTCCCATGTGACACCTCTCCTGCGTGAGCTGCATTGGCTTCCAGTGGTCTTCCGGGTGCGCTTCAAGGTGTTGGTTACCACCTTTAAAGCGCTCCATGGCATAGGGCCTGGGTACTTGCGGGACCGCCTTCTGCCGCCGATAGCCTCCCACCGACCAGTATGCTCCCACAGAGAGGGACTCCTCAGGGTGCCATCAGCCAGGCAATGTCAGCTGGTGACCCCCAGGGGGAGAGCCTTCTCTGTGGCAGCTCCTGCCCTCTGGAACGATTTGCCCCGGAGATACGAAGGATATCGGATCTCCGGGTCTTTCGCCGTGCCCTGAAAACTTTTCTTTTCCATCAAGCAGGGCTGGCATGAACCCCCCCCTTTCTTTAGTCTTTTTTAGTTTTTTAGCTTTTAAATTGTCAATGGGTTTTAATTTGAATTGTTTTAAATTTGGGCCAAAGTTATGTAATTCTTTTAATAAATTTAAATTTTGTATTGGTTCTTAGTTCTGGCTGTGCACTGCACTGAGTCCACCGGGAGAAGGGCGGTATACAAATTGAATCAATCAATCAATCAATCAATATCTATATCTATGGTATTTATATCTATATCACTCTTTATCTCTCTATCTCATCTCTCTATCTCTATCTTTCTATCTCTATCATCTCTTTATCACTCTCCCTTTCTGTATCTCTTTCTTTATCTCTACCTCTATCTATATATCTATATTTATCTAATCTATCTCTCTCCCCCCCTTTCTCATCTAATTTATATCTATACATTGATCTATATCTGTCTAATCTTTATTATCTAATCTATATCTATATTTATATTTATATTTATCTATCTCTCTATATCTATGTCTATCTCTCTGTCCATCTCTATCTATCTATCTATCTATCTATCTATCTATCTATCTATCTATCTATCTATCTATCATCTATCCATCCATCCTTACAGTTGTCAAAGTTGAGAAAGACACTTCTAAAACTTATCATGACTTTTCTACATTAAAAAGTTTTATCTAAGTTTGGAGTGTGAATCATCCCAGGGGGAGGAACTGCAGCTGGATCCTTTGGTCAACATGTTTTCTCTGGCCCTGCATTGCTGTCACAGAGAAAATCGAGCCTGTCGTCAGGACTGGTGTTCTTTGCCTTATGATTATCAAAATCACCATCATTTTCTCTTCTTAAAAAGAACCCCAGGGACCTTTGCCAAGATCGTCTTTAAGTTGAGCATCAACAAGAGCAGGTGATGTTTTCCATCCAAGGCTGCATAGACTGATTCCTCTTGTCTACTAATGCTGGATTTTGATCAAGGTCCAACTCAGGGGAAGAAGACTTAAGGTTTCTCCACTCCTATCCTCTCTGGAAAGGAATCAAAGGCTCAAGAGGTCTTGGAGAGCTTCTCCTCATCGTCCTAATCAGTTGTGAAGCCAGAAAATTCTTCTAATCCTCATCAGAAATGTTGCTGGTGTTTACCCTGCTTCTGCTGCTTCTACTACGGATAACCTGTGGGATGTGGAAGACCAAATGCTCCTTGACTTTGGAAGGGGGTATAACACAGCGTGTGCATGATTTCAAGTCAGCAGACTATATCCTTGGTGGGATTGCTTCTGAAAATATCATTCTGCGTCCATTTCACCATTTCAATGTGTCTCCCTCTACCCAAGGATACTTCCAGTGAGTCCAAAGGAGGGGGTGGAATTGCCTCTAGCTCATTCACTCCTGATTTCATCAATATCAATTATCCAACTTCTACTAGGGACTCCCTGCACTCATGGCTGCTTCTTAAATCTCCGGGAAAGACTTTGATGATCTATATATTTAGAGTTTTACAATGCACTACAGCAGCATTAGTGTTCTTCCTGAACTCTGAAATAACTCTGAATTGGAATGCCATGGGCATAATATAGCACGTAACCAATTCTGAAGGCATGATTAAAGCTCCCCGACTCTCTTATAGCCTGTATTTGAGTTCTGTTTGTAAGTTTGTCAATGTTCTTATTTCCTGGAAGTGACAAATTTTGGAGGCAGCAAGTCCAATGAGTTCAACTGATGCAACTCTTCAGTTTGCATCACAGCTTTTTTTGTACCTATCAGAAGGTAACTTCCCTACTGCTAAAATTGCTAAATAATCTCCATGACAACATCATCCATATATCGTCCCAATCTGACCCTACAAAGAGAAACATGGCTCATTATGGTTAGGAGAGTAGTTTGTAGTACAAACACCCTTCTTTTTTTTCTTTTTTTTAGCTTTAATCAAAATATCTAAGGAGTGCTTAGACATTCAGGAAAGAGTTAATGGAAGGGCTAAAAGCAGAGGGGATTGGATTCAAATGTGTAGGAAGCCCCCCCCTCCCCAGATTAAAATATTCTTTATTCTTAATATTAAAAAGAGGCAGGATAGAATATTTCCCCAAAAGGGAAATGGAGAAAAAATCTTAACAAAGGCAGAAAGCAGCCCTCGTCTTCCTGCTGAGGGAAAACAGCTTCAAACTAAGAAGCTTGGAGAGGCTGAGCTTTAGGAATGCAGATGTTTGTATCCTCCTATTTATAAACAAAATGCATTCAGTCATAAATTGTCCAGTCTGAGCTGATTAAGAATTAAGAATTCTAAGGGATTAAGAATTTACATTCTCCCACCCAAATTGTAAGGACAGGTTACAATTTACAGACCTTTAGGACATAATAGGATTAACCCACCACATTGAAATAGTAAAAGGCACAAGGCTCACTACATTGCACCACCCCCTGGAGCATCTCAATCACAAAACCCCAGAACCCTATAAAGATCCATCCACTCACTCAGCCATTTTGTCAGCAACCCCAGAAACATGCTGCTGTCACTGAAGTTTCTGGAAATAAACAGAGAACTTCTTTCTAACCTGCCAACCTCTATTTTATTTCCAATGTCTTTCTCCCATCTTGGAACCAGACTGGATTTTTCTTCCTACAAATGTATATTAATTTTTACAATTTTTCCCTTGACAAAATTTTAGTATATTACCGTAAGTTAGCCATTTGTCTTTACTTATCATTTCTCTTTTATACAATTCATCTTGTGTCCTAAATGTATTTTCAGTCACAACCTAGGTTTCTATCAATTCTATATTCTTGATATGGCATATCTAACAAAATGGCTTTTAAAATATGCATTAATCTTATCTTTGTTGTACATAAATGTCCATGCCACCCAAATCTTAAGTCATGTCCTTTTATTTCTCATGAACATCCACCCTTTCATTCAAATTAAACAAGCAATGAAGTATAATTTCAGATCAAGTAACCCCAGTCGCCCCCTTTCTTTCACATTCTGTAACCCCTTATATTTAACTCATATTTTTTCTCCCTACTACACAAATGTAGATGTATCTTTCTGCCATGTTTGAATGATACATCAGTTGTCAAAACAGATACTGTCTGAAATAAAAATAATTTTCAACAACAATGACAAATGTATTTTCTCCCATCCTAAAATATCTTTTTTTAACTTCGTTTCACATCTTTATGTAGTTACTTTGAAATAACATATGATTCATATTTGTTATTTAATACCAAAGTATTTTATCTTCTTCTCAATCTTAAAACCTGTTTTATTCATTCGTTCTGTTTTACCTTCTGTTTCTGTTTGGTTGTGAAACCTGCTAATAGACCAAATTATTTTAGTTTTCCCATTAGCACCCTGATTCCCTTTAATGGATCATCCAAAACCAGCCCCAAATCATCTGCAAAAGCTCTTAAATTGTACAGTAAGTCTCTTTTTAATGGTCTTCATGAATAAATTATTGTAAAATTATTGTCATTAGAAATAAAGTTTAGCAGTACTTAATGTCCATATAGCGGAGGTAGGTTTCAGCAGGTTCTGACCAGTTCTGGAGAACCGGTAGCGGAAATTTTGAGTAGTTCAGAGAACCGGTAGTAAAAATTCTGACTGGCCCTGCCCCCATCTATTCTCTGCCTCCCAAGTCCCAGCTGATTGGGAGGAAATGGAGATTTTACAGTATCCTTCCCCTGCCGTGCCCACAAAGCAACGCCCACAAAACCATGCAATGCCCACAAAGCCACACCCACAGAACCGGTAGTAAAAAACTTTGAACCCACCACTGCCATATAGGCTACATTTTATCCATGTGAGCGAATCCTTTGCTTCCTAGCCACTCAACATTCATTCATTCCTGTCATTTATTTATGGGGAGCAGCTGTGTGGAGAACAAGGGAGTTATCTTCTGATCGCTCTTTTATTTGGAGAGATTTCAGGGGCTAGTATTAGCACTCAGAGCTCCCATCTCCATTTTTTTTTTTTTAAATTTGATTTATATGCCGCCCTTCTCCGAAGACTCAGGGCGGCTTACAATGTGCTCAGCAATAGCCTTCATCCTTTTTGTATATATTTATACAAAGTCAGCTTATTGCCCCCACAACTGGGTCCTCATTTCACCTACCTTAGAAAGGATGGAAGGCTGAGTCAACCTTGAGCCTTGGCGAGATTCGAACCCTGCAGTAATTGCAGGCAGCTGGTCTTAATAAGCTTAATAACAGGGTGCCTTAAACCCCTGTACTACCAAGGCTCTTATCATTGCAATGATGTTCCTCTTTCTTCAAAAATGTCTAGTCTGCCATAGATTTCACTGGAAACTCCCAGAAGCAGAGAATATATTATGACACAGAAGCTAAATG